CCCTGTTATAATTTTATGCTAAAATTTACTAAGATGTAATGTATAATGCCGGCACTGGTCCAACACACAATGAAATATAGCTTATTTTGATTCAATTTGCCTTTGAGACATGATACGCGCTAATTCTTATAACACAAGATTCACTTTTCACAAGTGACCACGCCATTCCGATAATCGCTTTATTTATGTTCCGATTTCATTAAAAAGTAAACTTCGACGCGAGCTTTATTTGTCTTTCAGTAAGTTTATACTTCACACAATTTCTAAATTTTATTATTTTCTATATTTTTGACACAAGGTGAATCAATAACAAGTCACTTAATAAAAAATAAAAATATAAATTTCTTTGCAACTTTCCGCTAAACATATAAAATGATGTGCATTTTTGCCCCCTCAATTGCATACACTAACTCCGTCACCACTAGACCAAGCACCACTACTCTCAACACCACTATTCCAGGCAAGACACACCATCGACGATAATACGACACGTGTTTCGCCTCTACACGAGGCATCCTCAGGTAATATAGACTCTACGGTAGAGTAAAACGAAAGAAAGTAGAATCGACAAATATTAGACGTTGACCACTACTCTCAACACTACTATTCCAGGCAAGACACACCATCGACGATAATACGACACGTGTTTCGCCTCTACACGAGGCATCCTCAGGTAATATAGACTCTACCGTAGAGTGGAACCTCTACCTGGAATAGTGGTGTTGAGAGTAGTGGTCAGGTAATATAGACTCTACGGTAGAGTCTATATTACCTGAGGATGCCTCGTGTAGAGGCGAAACACGTGTCGTATTATCGTCGATGGTGTGTCTTGCCTGGAATAGTGGTGTTGAGAGTAGTGGTGCTTGGTCTAGTGGTGACGGAGTTAGTGTATGCAATTGAGGGAGGGCGGGAGGTGCGCTTCAATCCAGGTAAGACACATCATTTTATATGTTTAGCGGAAAGTTGCAAAGAAATTTATATTTTTATTTTTTATTATAATGGATTTCCGCAAAGTAACGCCTGATTCTATCACAAGTCACTTAGTTAAAGGCTGCTGTTGTCTCGGAGATAATTTTACTACTACTCCGCCTCTTCAATAGGTTTCAATTCGACATTATCGATTTTATAATCCGGCTTCCGCCGGGCTTGTTGAAAATTTTAGGGACTGATGTGATAAACTAAAACCCAACGTTAATTCGCTTCCTAGTTGAATGGAAATAATTTACTACTAGTCAGTAATTCGAAGAACCGAGAACCGACGTGGTAGAAAAGTTCTCGATTGGCTCTCACCGTAATATAAAAGTATATATACGATACTAATGACGGACAGTGACTACTGCGGCGAATCCTATAATCCATTTAAAAAAAGGTTATATAATCTCAAAGTTATTAAGGTTTCGTGATTGCAAAACTATCTAATTTTTGTAATTAAGTTTTCTTCCTCGGACAAATTTGTGGAATCGGCTACCACCAGCAATTTTTCCATACTTACGGTTCATCTGAAAAATAGCATACTCTTTTAAAAGATCAGCAACGTATCTGCATTTTTTTCTGGTGTTGCAGTTGTTCATCGACGACTGTCAGGTGAATCACTTACCATCAGGTGAACGGCATGCTGGTCTGCCCACTCATATATATAAAAAATCTATCATAAGCTTGAGAACGGGTTTCTCAATAATATTTTCAAGGCAAACAGGAAAAAAGGCGTTTAACGACGTATAGAACACACGCAGTTATTTTATAGTGTCCTGTGTGGCGACACCTCAAAATATATGCCCAATGCGAAGCTACGTCTAATGCCTTAGCCCCACCCCCATTGAGGTCTTTTTTTATAGGAGAGGGGGCCAACGAGCATACTACGGTCCACCTGATGTTAAGTGACTACCGCCGCCCATGAACAACTGTAACACCAGGGAAATTGCAGTTGCGTTGCCGGACTTTTAGAAAGGAGTAAGCTCTTTTCTTGAAGGTTTCTAAGTCGTATCTGTCCGGAAAAAACTCCTAGTGAAACATACAGTGGTGGACAGCCAAGCATCCAGATGGTGTGGATGGTATCGGGAGATTTGCCACGTAGTGCGTTCATGAAATTTGGCGGCTGGGATTAATCCGAACAATTCCTCAGTGCACTCCCCGTGGTAGATGCGAAAGAAAATGCAAGGACATGCAACATCTCTTCGCAGCGCCAGTGAATCGAGCCGATCGGAAAGCACTCGGTCGTTGACGATTCGAGCCGCTATACGCTGGATGCGGTCAAGTGGAAGGAGCTGGCACTGGGGAGCCCCAGCCCAGAGATGGGAACAGTATTTCATGTGCGGCCGAATCTGCGCCTTCTAAAGTTGCAGGCGGTGTGCTGGCATGAAATACTGTCCCGCTCTGCTGAGCACGCCAAATTTTTTAAAGGCCAATTTGGCATTCTCTTACAAGTGACCACGAACCAGCACGCTACTGGAGATGTCGACGCTGAGGATTCCGATACTGGCTGAGGCAACAAGGCGAGTGCCTTAAAACTGAAAAGATATGACAAAGGGGTACTTTTTAACGGTTAACGCGCAAACTTGTGTCTTCTGAGGGATAAACTGGACTAGATTTAGTGGCCCCCTAATCCTAGACTTTGTTCAGTAAAGACTCGACTTCAGACACAAGTTTGTCCCGATACTCGGAAACATTTTCCCGAAAAATATTGGTACAGCCGGTGTACATAGCATCACCAGTGCTGTCCGCATAGCAATGAATGTTACCGGTTTGCAAATTATCATTGATATGCAGAAGAAACAGCCTTGGTGATAGCACGCAGGCTTGTGAACCGTCAGCATTAATAGGCTTGCAATCGGAGCATGCACCGTCTACAACGACCTTGATGCTCCTATCTGCAAGAAAGCTGGTGATCCAATTGCACAATTTCTCGAGAAGCCCATAGGAAGGGAGCTTAGAAAGAAGCGTTTTGTGCCAAACCCGATCGAAGGCCTTCGCAATGTCTAATGTACTAACGGCCAAACCCTCCCCCTTGGACTCTACTGCCTCCGCCTATCGATGGTAATGAAGGCACCGACGAAAACCGTATTGGCAATCAGGTGGTGATCCTCAAGGTACCGCATGAGCTGGCAGTTTATAATGGATTCCATTATTTTGGAAAACAAGGAGGTGATGGCGATAGGCCTGGAGTTTAACGGATCTGAGCGGTCGCCTTTTTTAGGGATCGGGTGGACGGAATCCGTCTTCCATGATTTTGGGACTACGCCTAGAAAGTAGGAGTACCGGAAAAGACGCTTTAGAACCGGTGCCAACTCTGGAGCATACGTCCTCAGCACAATTGCCGGGATTCCGTCAGGCCCAATCGACTTGTGGATGTCCAGGGAGAGGAGTGCTTTGCGAACCGAGCGCTGAGTGAACTGCACTTCCGGTATGGAGCACTCACACTGCGGGATGGTCGGCGGTGTGCTCCCCCGTCATCGAGAGTCGAGTTGGGCACAAAGAAAGGGTCTAGCAGATCGGCTTTCTCATTTGCGGCATGGGCCAGTGAGTTGTCCTCCCTATGCAGAGATGGAAGAGATAGCTGACTGGAATTCCCTTGGACAGCTTTGACGAGAGACCACAATGCACGAGTTCCAGAAGGAAAAGGAAGGTGAACAAGTTTCTCGCCAATTCTGCCTATGTGCTCTGACTTTGCCTTGACAATGACTTTTGAAGGACCTGGAGGCGGAATTATACCACTTTAGGCACCACAGAGGAAGGAATAAACTGTTCCATACCCTGAAGTACCACATCAGCGACAGAATCCGCAACAACGTTGGGATATTCCGAGCAGCAAACCCAAGGGTAGGAAAAACCGCATCCTATCCCAATCGGCTGACCTACAGTGCCAAACACGGCGGCAGCCTGCAGAATGCAACCGTGATTTCAGCGTGAGTGGCATCACACTCCGGACAAGACAGTGATCCGAAGACCCAAGGGGGGCATTGACGGAGACCTGATATGTGTCCGGAAGAGAGGTCAGCAGAAGGTCCAACAGGGAAGGTGCATGATCCTTCACATCTGGAATCCGCGTAGGCGAAGTAACCAGTTGTCTCAGACCATATTTCAAGGCAAAATCATGAACAGATCTCCCCGCATGATCGGTTAATCGTGAACCAAGCCATTCGGCGTGGTGGGCTTTAAATTGCCGAGGATCACGATCTCTGCGGAGGGGATCTGTTGTAACAACGAATCTGTAGCCATTTGGACGTGGTCGAAGAGTCGGTCTGTTTCGTCATTACCCCTATGGAACCTATAGCGGCACTCGTAGACGCGCGGATGGTCGTCGCTGTCTACGAGTAGCCAAAGGATGGACAGGTGCGAACCTTCAAGATTGCAGAGGCGTCGAGAACGGTTGTCCTGTCTGACGTATACGTAAACTCCAGCCCGAGGCACAAAGGAGTGTTCCAGTTTGTACCCCGGGTAGGAGAGATACGAAGCATCAGCCGGAGAGGACACCTGCGTCTCAGTCGGAAAGATCAGAGCCGGCTTCGCCGTCTTGAGATGGTAGTGGACGGCGTTTAGGTTTGAGTGAAGTCTACTGATATTGCTGGTACCTGATGTTGATATTCGCTGATATTTCTGATATCTTAGTAATTTAGTATGTGGAGAGTCTCAGGGAAGAGCGTGTGGCATGGCGGAGCGTCCGGAGTGCTTAAAAACGTATTACATTTTTCTGAGTTTCGGTTGTGGTTCGGTTGTAGTCGTAAGGTAATCGTGCCGCCACGTTACATATCCCGGCAAACTCTCGCTGTTTTTGCCTAATGTCTCAGCAAAAGCCGAGATTGCCCTTAGGCCAATACAAACTTTTGGTAACTACAATAAATTATTGCAATTTTTAATATATCACAAAACTGTAACACTTTTTTTATTCTGTAGACTTGCTCCTAAATTTATAGATGTAAAAAATTTATTAAAAATTTTCTAAGCCGATAAGTTTTCTGTAAGAAAATAGTATAAATTTGTGCATTAATGAGTTTGTATTTCAGCCAAGCTGGTTGCGGACTAAAGAGTTTTGGGACAAATCCTTCGAGGAGCGCTACGAGAAAATTCGAAACGACAGCCGTCGACCTAGATTGAAGGTAATATTTTTAAATTATTCTTAATTTAACTTATTTGTTATCGAATTTCTGGTACATTTTAACTTGCAACGTATACTGGATGACCTTTTTACTATCTGTGAAAAAAATAGGGTATAAATGCAGGGACATTAACTAAGTACATGTTTTATCTTCTTCGATAGTGTAATGTAGTAACTGTATTTATTTTTGTTGTCTGAGTGCTTCACTCTCGTTCCTGCTTGTCTATCTAGATTCCAAATGTCGAGTTCCTAACACCAATCAGTCTCTAACAACTTATTTTTCACACACTCAATAAATTGATTTTTCAGCAGTGTTAGAGCTACGCTGCAGCGATATTATGGTTATAGCACGAATGCGTCGGCCCGACCGGGTAGAACCACGCTCTCACATAATAACAGCGTAAAATAGCTCGTTAATGCTGCTGTGTTTCGTATGGTGAGTGTAGAAAGCCGAAGACCCTTTTTACTAGAAATGAGGCATTTCATCTTAGTCCTCAGAGGTGAAGTCGCATTGCATTGATTCTTAATCGTGGATAAATGTCTATGGGCCACAGCATATTCACTTATCAGCACGTGAACTATGTGGTTGTATTTCTTACTCAATCACACATAAACGTCACTCCAAATATAAATAAAATTTATACATATAAACTACGTCCTGGATATACACATCTGATACTGTTAATTCGTGACAACGTGAACGAAGTAGCGGATATTCACCTCTTTATGTAACCATGCAATTGCAAGTCGCATTCATGTGAGTGTACACAATATGCATAACAAATATATTTGTTAATACAGCTTCATTAAAAGTCAGCCAAACTTCAATTAATACCAATCTAACTGGAAGTAAAGTTGTCATGAAGCAAGCAGAAGCAACTAACCAAACAGTTATATCTATACAAGTGATAAAATTAAAATTTTTGTACAACCGATTTCAGTATAAATAAAATGAGAACATCATCAATGTAGACGAGGTCAATTAAATACGCATTATTAAGGACAACACAAAAACTACTGGTCAGATCTTGATCAAATTTATATGAGACCACACGAGAAGTACCAGCTTTCAAATAAAAAAAATAAAACATCAAAATCTATTCACCTATAAAAAAGTTCTGAGGTTGTACACACATACATAAAAACATATAGTCGAATTCAGTGCTTTCTCCTTTTTGAAGTCGGTTAAAAAAGAAAAAGCAAATTAAAAATATATAGTCGAATTCAGTGCTTTCTCCTTTTTGAAGTCGGTTAAAAAAGAAAAAGCAACGTCTGACAGTAATCCCAATAATTCTTTATATAAGTACTATATTAAAATTTTACTCACCACCTTTTTAGGTTCTACGAGCCCAATTTCTCATTGGTTCGAAATAAACATTTTCACAACAGCTAATTTCACACAATCTTAATGGAAATTTTTTTGTTTTAAAAATAAAAAAGAGTGATAAACGAGCACACAGTTCACCTAATGGTAAATGGTTGCTGTGGCCCATAGATATCTACATTTATTCTCGATTAAGAATCAAAATGCAGATGCGTTGTCACCTCTAAGGACTAAGATGGAATGCATCGTTTCCAGTAAAAGGGGTCAAAAGAAGTGTTATAACTTTATAAAAAAAAAAAAACAAAAAAAACTAGTACCCTTAAAATATCAGAGAGAACTACTTTTACTTGACTTTACTTGAACTGCTTTTACTACTAACAGTCAATTTTTGAGCGTTTTAAAGTTATTTAAATGTATGTAAAATACCGTAGAGCCGTGTTAGCTCAGATAGTTAACGCTCGCTGTAAATATAACAGAACGCGAGTAACCCGGGTTCGATCCCCGCCGGCACCAATGAAATTGTTAATTGCAATTTTAAGTGCTGATTTACCACGTGCTCGGCGGTGAAGGAAAACATCGTGAGGAAATCTGCATGTCTGAGGAATAAGACAAAAAAATATTTCGAAGACATGTGAAGTGCGCCAACACGCATTAGGGCATCGTGGCGGATATTTCCTTGACCTAAAACCCTCTCAGAAATAAGGGGAGGCCTGTGCCCAGCAGTGGGACGTATATAGGCTGTAACTTTACTTAACTTAACTTATGTAAAATACCTATAATCTTATTAAGGGTATTGTAAAGTTGCTATTGCAGTATGCTACTTTAGATTCTATAACTATAAGCGAGGAAATCGTATACTTGGGTATTCGTCGCTCGATTACGCTTGAACAGATTTAATTGAAATTTGGCAGAGCATTATATTATGTTATGGAAAGGAACATAAATTAAATTCGGTATCCCATACCCTTCTAATCTAGGTATAGGGTAGGGTATATCGCGTGAGCGTAGCTCCGAGCAATAGTTGGGCGCCTGTAAATTTATCTTGAGTAAACTACCTTATAAATATTGTGGAATTTAAATATTAAAATTAATATATATAAATAATCATAATCTCTCACAAATCACAATTGAAATTTAATTTTTCTATTTCTTTTAACAGTTGCATCCCTTATTCCCAACTCCAATTATATCTCAATTACATATCACAACTGTCAAACAAATTAAAATGATATATCAGTCTTATTTCAACTTTGATAAGGAATATCAGTTGTATGCACAGTTGTGCATATATACTATATACGGTTAATTATACAGTAATATATACTGTATACTGTTAAACATAATATACTATAAAATAAATATATTATTTGATCACTATAAAGTACTTATAAAAATATTTTTTCGATGGAAAAACGTAAGCGTTGATTTCATAGAAAAACCTAACACTCCGCCTTTCTTAATTTATGAACGCTAGCAAAAATATTAAAGGCGTGTGTTGTAATGTTTTACGTCATCATCATCATCGTTAACACTTATCATTAGCCTATTATTGTTTAACACAAATCCAATCAAGTTTTCAGTTCTTGTTAGAAATAAAATCCAGAAATAAATAATGCTCATTGATTTTTTATTTAGTTGGTTACGCAAGCTCGAAAGCCGCTGTTTTAACCATATTTTTTTTAAATATTTACAAAAAACATTGCAGGTCATTGTAGTGCCGCATTCGCACAACGATCCGGGATGGTTGAAGACCTTCGAGCAATACTTTGAATGGAAGACAAAGAATATCATAAATAACATCGTTCAGAAATTGAACCAGCACCCCAACATGACTTTCATTTGGACCGAGATATCGTTTCTCAATGCCTGGTGGGAGACTTCGCACCCGGTTAAGCAAAAGGTAAGGACTCACTAAATTGAATAAAGTGCTTATATCAGCGAGATTTGATTAATCAATCAATAGGCGTCCTTTAATTTCTGAGAGAGCATTAAATCCGCGCTGCTCGATTAATCGTTGGCCGCGTCCTTAAAATTTGAATCGAATGCAAGACGAGGAACTGGCAATCACCATTGAATTTAGCGCCATAAATGGAATCAAATTTATTACGGAACATTTAAAACAATTAACATATATATCTTAAAACTTTTGTTGTAAAATAATACTTAAAATATTTATCAGAGTAGGTATATAAGACTGAATCCCAGTATTGAGAAAATATCATTGGGATAATCCGGTCAGTTCTCTTGTTTTGCATTCGTATAAATAACTAACGGATGCCCGGCGTGTGCTACCGCTAAAATAAGAAATACATTTTATTTATTTGTTGGAAAAAAGGGAATTTTTGTTTATTTATTAACTTTTTATAAAGTGCCTAAAGTACTATTTTAGTGATCTAAAACAATCTTCGCATTATTAACTTTCTAAAGAAACCGGTTGAGGCACATCGGTTGGATGATTTAAAAGTTTATAACGGACTTAGGTGTTTTTGTGTTTTATATAAAACACAAAAACACCAAACAATTATTTCGATATATTTATCTATATAGATAAATATATCGAAAGGCACTGTATTTATTAAATTTTATATCTATTATTTAATATGTAAAATTAAAAAGCACAAACTAGTTTTATGATAATTTATTTAAAATTATAATTACAGGCTCTTAAAAAGTTAATTAAAGAAGGACGGCTCGAGATTACCACTGGTGGGTGGGTGATGCCTGATGAGGCCTGCACTCACATATATGCACTAATAGATCAATTCATCGAAGGTAATAGATGTTTTTTTGCGAATCATAAAATTTATTCTCATTCTTATCATGTAAAAACCATAAAATTAACTTCTTAAATTCACTCTGAGTAGTAAGTTTTACGAAATCAGTCGCTATAATAGAGATACTAATGCCTTCCTCACTTTTAACTTTAAAAAAATTTTAACTATACAAATATGAAAGTTATAGATTTTAAATTAAAAGTTGTTTATTGCAATATATCTATTGGCTATTTAAAGTTTATAAGCGCAAATTCTGCTTATTGCATATATGATTTAAGTTCAAGTTTCTGACAAAAACTGACAAAAGTCAGACTGAGCAAAAACAAAGTTATTTCGAACATCATTTTCGAGCTCATCTAAGTTTTGCGTAAGCTATTACAACAAAAACAACACGAGAGCGATAGACATATTCTCATGTATAAGATAGGAATATGGAAGAAAAAGGAAGCTTTGTAATTCGTGACATAAATTTTAATTAATGGTCAATCAGTCTATCATTACTTCTGTAGTGTGGCTACACAACTACCTACATAAAAACAACTTTTAACTTTTCCCTGTCAGTAAACACTAAAGAAAAAATTCATCACAGTATCTTATAATGTAATAATTTTCATTAAACATATAAAATATATTTTTAATTTAATTTTCCACTAAAATAAATTTGTATAAAATTACATCACGTAAAGTATTTTATACGTTATATTAATAATTTTATTATATCGCAGGTAATTCGGTTCATTACAGACAAATTAATTTAGGTTTTTAAAAGTTAATTAGACCTATATCTGAATGTAATATATATATATATATATATATATATATATATATATATATATATATATATATATAATAAATTAATACAATTTCTTCTTAATTTTAGGTCATCATTGGGTTAAAACCAACCTTGGGATCACACCAAAAACTGGTTGGTCGATAGATCCGTTTGGACATGGGCCCACAGTACCTTATTTGCTTGATAAGAGCGGTCTAGAGGGGGCAATTATTCAACGGATTCATTACGCGTGGAAACAATGGCTTGCAGAGCGACAGATCGAGGAGTTTTATTGGTTACCAGGGTGGGCGAGTAGGAAGCCGTCGTTAATTGTCCATAACCAACCTTTCGACATTTATTCCATCAAAAGCACGTGCGGGCCCCATCCATCCGTGTGCCTTAGCTTCGACTTTCGAAAAATACCGGGCGAATATTCCGAATACACCGCGAAACATGAAGAAATAACGGATCAAAACGTACACAGTAAATCAAAAACATTAATAGAGGAGTACGAACGCATAGGATCTTTGACTCCTCATAACGTCGTCCTCGTACCGCTCGGCGACGACTTCCGTTACGAATACGACGTAGAATTTGACGCTCAGTACATCAACTACATGAAAATGTTCAATTACATTAACAGCCACAAGGAGCTGTTCAATGCTGACGTCCAGTTTGGGACTCCACTGGACTATTTCAACGCAATGAAACAAAGACATAAGAGTATACCTAGTTTGAAAGGCGATTTCTTCGTTTACTCGGACATTTTTAGTGAGGGCAAACCGGCTTATTGGTCGGGCTATTTCACTACAAGGCCCTACCTCAAGATCCTCGCTCGGCAATTCGAACATCAGCTACGCACTTCGGAAATAATATTTACTCTCGTCTCTAATATTGTTAAACAATCCCACGACCGTCGACTCGTCGCTTCAGAGAAGAGGTTGGAAAAATATTACGAGCAGTTGATCAATGCCAGGAGGAATATGGGTTTGTTCCAACACCACGATGCAATTACAGGCACTTCTAAAGCCAGCGTCATGTACGATTACGGTACAAAACTTTTCACCAGTTTATATCACTGCATCCGTTTGCAGGAATCGGCACTTACCACCATAATGCTTCCGGATGAAACTTTACACGCTCAGAGTATTTTACAAAGCGAAGTTGAATGGGAAACGTATGGCGCTCCAGTGAAGAAACTTCAGGTCTCTTTGATTGATAGGAAAAAAGTCGTACTTTTCAATCCTCTGGCGGAGCGTAGAACTGAGGTGATTACGGTACGATCTAATACAACAAACGTACGAATTTATGATACCATGTCGAGGAAATACGTGCAGTATCAAATAACTCCAAACATCAACATTCGAGAGGACGGTAAACGTGTCATCAGTAATAATAATTTCGACATTGTGTTCGTTGCCACTCTACCAGCTCTTACTGCTGTCACTTACAAAATAGAGGAGCACAAGAACGCATCTCATCACTGTGTCGTGTTTTGCAACAATTGCAACAGCCAAGATTCCAGTAAGCAATCAAATTTCGTTACAAAAAAAATGATGCCCGGCGACATTCAATTGGAAAATTCAGCTTTGAAACTGCTCATAAATAGGAACACTGGGTTTTTGAAGCAGGTGTATAGAAAAGAGGCCAGAAAGAAAAATGTGATGGAAATACAATTTGGGGCTTATCAAAGTGCACAAAGACATTCAGGTGCTTATCTTTTTATGCCAGACTACGATTCGCCTGAGAAGAACGTCCTAAATCCTTACTCTAACTGGAACAGCTTTCAAGACGACAATATAATTATCGTATCAGGTCCAGTTTCAACGGAAATTACAACACTTTACTTGCCTTTCTTGGTGCACACAGTCAAGATATACAATGTTGACGATCCGGCACTGCTGCATGGCATTTTAGTTGAGAATATAGTTGATTTCGAGAACCCACCCAAAAACAGAGAAACTGAGCTTTACATGAGAATTCAAACCGATATACAAAACGGCGAACCGCCCGTGTTTTACACAGACCAAAACGGTTTCCAGTATCAAAAAAGGGTTAAAGTGGACAAGCTGGGCATTGAGGCCAACTACTTTCCTATTACTACCATGGCATGGATCCAGGATGAAAATGCACGGCTGACTCTAATAACAAACCACGCGCAAGGAGCGGCATCTTTTGAGCCCGGTCGTCTTGAAGTAATGCTCGATAGACGCACTCTATATGACGACTTCCGAGGTATTGGTGAAGGAGTAGTCGACAACAAACAAACCATATTCCAAAATTGGCTTCTTCTCGAATCAACCACTTTTATAAGATCTAAAAGAGATACCAGTGAATCTTTCCAACCTGTGCACGAAAGACATTTCAGACCCGACCAAAAAACCACTGATTATCAGTTGCCTTCGCAGACGGCTGACTTTTTAAGCCGATCCCTTAATTATCCAGTTAATATTTACCTTATCGACACCAGTGAGGTGGTGCGAGACGTAGAAGTGAAGAACTATCAAACGTTAGTTCAAAACTTTCCAGCAGGCATCCATTTGGTGACGATGCGTACAATCACTGACGATATACTCGAACAGTTTCCCAGTTCGTCATGCTATATGGTGCTCCAAAGACCGGCACATAGCTGCTCCGTTGGGTCGCAGCTTGAAAAGTCCACTTCATTTACAGGCAATACTAGATTTAATGAACTTCACATTAGAAACCTAACTTCGGTCAGCTTAACTGGACTTAAAACATACAAATCGCTATCGGGATTGGAGGATATCGAAATAGAGCCAGTAGAAGTAAAAACATTTAAGATCAGGTTTTGAAGACTGTTAGGGTTAAGCATTAGACAATTATAAATGTACAGATTTCATATTTTTCAGTATATGCTTCAACTTATCTCCTAGACAAAATACATTATTGACAGGAGTAGTGTAGTATTTGAAGTATATGTGATGCATAAGTCTTTAAGTAATAAGTACACAACATTTGTATGTTCAATTTCACTTTACGGCGTGTACGTACATTTTTGTGGATTTTGATAAGGATATTTAATTACTATAATTAGAATTTGTTGAGAATCCTACATGACACCTTTAAATATCTAGAATTACTAGATAAATCTACCTCAGGACCAAATGATATACCTACTACCTTTTTGAGTCAATGATTCTGTAAAGAAAATTATATATACGTTATAGTGATCCTACTGATAAAATACATATTTTTATTTACACACATATGGTCCCGTTTCTTACTAGTCTCCTAACATCTTCAATGATGAAATTAAAACAAATACACAAACAAACCTGGATATTAGAGTTATCAGCGATATTGTACATAAAACAAATCTTGCCATGTAGTGGAGTCCTAAAATTGACTAAAGTATTTAATTATTTATTTATATTATTTAATCATTGAAATGTTATTATTAACACTGTATTTAAATAGCAGTTGGAAAAATAACAACACTCAATAATGCTCATTACACTATTTAAACTAGTACATTTTGCTTTAAAGCTATTTTATTCTAAGCTTATGTATAAAATATATTTATGAAGTGCTGTTTTAGTCCATGACCATCATTTTAGTTTTAGGAATATGTAGATATTACACGGTATGGCATTTTATCGCCTATTCCTTCAAAAAAAGGTTGTTCGACGCGTATGTTTTTATTTAGAACTAGCTAGTAGAAGTGATGTCGGACCTTATCTTTAAATAGCATCACCACAGTGTAAGCCCAAGTCAATTTTTTCATGCCGTCGATAAACAGATATTAAGTAAACTACACTACGACCTCTCACAGCTTAAATCCGTTTACATAATTCCATTTGAAGTCTCTTAGAACTTAAGAGCTATGTCTTTATAATTCTAGGAAGGAATATAATGTAAAAATTCTACAAACAATTTTGTGTAAATCCTTCCTGTGAATGGGGTTATGTGGAACTCCGTTATTTATTATAAACTATATCGATAAACGCATTAGTTATATGAGTGGACTGAAAGCTACATTATTATAATTATTTTTTGTGTATTTCTTACGGCATATTTATTGAATTTATATTGACATTTTTTTTATTGATTAACACAGTCTACATCATATTACCTGTATAATAATGTACTGATAATCTACATATAGAAAAGCTACATTTGGTTAACCTTTGTCATAATTAATATTAAAAACTTATTCATCAACCAGACAAGACGTATACGCATCATTGTTCTGTTTCGTTGCATTGATATTTTTTATCAGAAATAACTACAGTCAAACCTGGGTAAGTGAGAACTGGATAAGTGAGAAAACTCTATAAGTGAGAGTAATAGCCAGGACCCGTCATTTTTAGCTCTCAAAACCTCTATTAGCGAGAAACAGAAACCTCTGTAAGAGAGAGTCGTTTTTCCCTCATGGACCTCCGTAAGACTGCTACTTATCTATACCTCTATAAGCGACAGTCGAGCTTTATTTATTTATATTATTTAGGAGGAACTATAGCTACAATAAAAATATATACATACATAAAAGATACACACATACAGTAACAAATGACAAAACAAATTACAAATTTAACATCTTTATGATTCATTCTTAACTTTCGTGGAGCTTCCTAGCATTGTTTTTGTATTGTTTTCTCGTCAATATTGTACCTATTCTATTTCGTGAACTAAATAACGTAATTTTATCGCATTCTTTTCGAACGGACACGTGTGCCTGTGTACCGTCCTGTTTGTCGGACTTACTCAGTTTATAGTTAATCAATTGCGAAGGAAAGTTCTGTTCTGCATCACGTCAAAACGGAAAATTAAAGTACTGTCATTAAGTGATAAACTTAAAGTAGTGAATGGGTTTGAAGTTCTAAATAAAATAAAATTACATAGTGCATGATTTTTTGTTTTGTTTTCGTAAGCATCTTTATACCTACCATTATAAAGTACTTATATCTCGAAATCTAATAAACGTAACATATACACACTATTAAAAATATATATGTACATAATATATGTTGTGCATATTATTCACCTAATTTTATCATATTACATATTTACTACATTCATACTTGCTGTGACTTGTTATTGCTGCGTACCTTTTTAAGAGAGAAACGCTACCCATGCAGGTAGCATTAGTGAGAAACTCGGGTTAGTGAGAAGCTTCTATAAGCGAGAATGAGATTGTGCTCCCTTGAACTCTCGCTTATCCAGGTTTGACTGTATAACATAATATGTAACTACATAGAACGTTTACAAATCGTTTGTAGATTGTAAAAAATCACACTAAAGAGCCACAAATGTGTTTTAAATCTTAAAAATCATATTTTATAAATGTTTCTTATGTGTAATGACCTAATGACACACGAAAAAATAATATCAAAAACGAATACCTCGAATACTTTGTGTTTCTGTTATATAATATTTTAGGACATAACGATCTCATGTAAGATCTATCCCTCATAAAAGTTTGAACCTTCTAATCTATTGTAGGTTGTGAAACAAATTTATTTTGTAAATTTGGGTAGATTGATAGAATAGGGAAATGATTTCATCAATTCCCATTAGAGTCAAAAAACTAAGTAAAAGACATTTTAATTGCAAAAATACATAAATCAAACGCGACTCTCTAGTTCTATTAATAAGGTAAATATTATAGAAATATTCTACGTAATTCTCATCACAATCAACGCTGTTAATAATTAATTTTTAAGATAAGAATTCGATTAAATCATTTCCTTCGAATATTTAATTTGTAAAATGATATGTAGTATGTTTTTTATTAAGGCGTATGTTTTTTTCTCTTTGATAATGATCTCTTATGGTTGTACTTTTGGCAGTGTCAAGTATAGGAAATTATGCTTGTTATAATAATTTCTTCAAAAACTGCCCTACAGTATGTTAAAGCATCACAATGTAGTTTTCGGGAGATTTCAACATCGGAGTACTTTTTTCATTTCCACTTATATTTTACATGCACAGATACACAATACACAAGATAGCATAATTTTTACTGAGCTATGATACGCCGGCACATTATGCACTATGTATCTGAAGCGTCGGCAAGTGGTCAATTAGCCACTCCAGCCCTTGGAGTGAGTGCTGTCGCTGGGACGGCCGAGTTCGAAATTTTTTCGGTCGTTTTGTGAGCATATAACGTATCTATAAAAAATATAATTGAATGTAAATAACCGTAGCGGTTTCGCTAGATATAATATTATATTTATAAGCGTAATATTGCGTTGCCTAATGTTCTTTTAAATGTTTTATAAACCAAATATTATATTTTTATGTTTTTGTCACAATATTTCATATAATTCAACGAAATTTAATTATAAATTGATATTACTTTTATTTATATATTATTTCTTTGTATATAAAAACTGTCAATCTGTAAATATTTTATTTAATACAGATGTTATCATATTAAGACCAATGTTTTCTCACATATGCATACTCACACGTTTAACTGTACTATAAAAGTACATTAAGTGATTTATTTAGTTTTATTATGCTTTCTGAAGTATTTATGTACTTGCAATTCTTTTAACACAATTATCGTAGGTAACAAAACTATAAACTAAATCAATGATCAGCAAAATGTTTGATAAAATACATAAATATATGAACACTGGTAATAATCTCTCCATTTATCTCATGTTCCAATAAACGCATTTATTTAATTTAATAAAAAAGCGTAATACCTAAATCTTCGAATGTTTGTTGTATAAATTATTTATTGCATTCTGTTTTTTTTTATGATACATGTACATTTGTGGACGTTATGGATCTTAAATACAAGTAGCATCTCGACGTCAAGGAAAATGCAAAAAAATTGAGATAATGAGTTTCTGACTTAACAAAAATTACTTTAGGTTCGAGAAAAAAAAGGATTCATATGCTAAAATTTCGATTTAGAAAGGCGCTCTTTTAGGTATAATTATTGAGTTGTAGAGTCAAAGTTAAATAAAAATTTGATTTAAGTTTTATAGTACATATTTATTGAAACAAATTACATATTAGTGAAATAACTGTAACTGTACAAACATCTACAAAAAATCTGTTATCTACTTTTGATTTAAAGAATCTGCAGATATTTTTTCAAGTTCAAACAATGAACCGAATACACGATCCCCGATATCATGACATCTTTTAACGAGAGTTCCTATATCTTAATTGCTGCTCTGGCATTTGATATTAATGGTTCAAAATCTGCTAGATCACTATGAATATGATCAACGTCATTTTTATTAACATTAGTTTTAATTTTAACATTAAAATAATTATTAGGTACACAGATGTGTTACTTAGAAATTTTAATGAATGTATTCATTAATTGCACGTGTTCAAGGCACACAATAGATAGAAGTACTGGGCATTCCTTTTGGATTTTATTGTTATGAATTTGGGGAATTCCAAGACGTCATTATATTTCACTAACTAGGTCTTACGGAGTCTGCTTTTTGAAATTAGAGTTATTGAGTATAAATATGTACTATCAATACCTCGCAGGGAAATAACATTTTGTTAGAGCGAGGAAAATAACATTTTGTTCGATCGAGGGAAATAACATGGGTTCATCGGTACGGAATGGCATTTTTTTTCGACTTATTCAGGATCACGACTTAACGAGGTTAAAGTTATCGAGATTCTACTGTATTTCTTTTATAATTGTGATTTTTTTTAAACCTTTTATATATTAATCCAACATAAATCATGTTGTTTTATGGTTGTATTTGTCGTAATTTAGTAATACACTCATGGACATATTTAGAGGAACGTAAAAAGGAACAAATTTGTATAAAAACAGATATATAAGCTATTCAGCGTATTTAGTAGGCTT